CCCCAAAACCCCAAAACCCCAAACCCAAAGCTATTCAGAAAATTATTATTATATTAACAAGAATTTAAATTAAATAAAATAAATATTGACTAATCTAAGCTAGCGTATAAAAGGTATTAAAAAGAGGGTAACCTCTAATTATTAGTAATAAATTTAAAGATATTGCAAATGAGTTCAAAGGGAGATTAAGAATAGGAAGAAAAAGTGCCTTTTGTCTACAAGGCTGAACCTCTTAATATCTAGATGGTAAACTCATTTCAACCCTTATTGTTGATTTAGATTAACAGCGCTAAAACAAAGATAGCTAACAATCATCCGCTAAGCAGAATTCCTCTTCTTAAGGCCCTTCCATATCTATATTATTGCAGATGTTGCCTCAGAAAACCCAAGAAGGATTTCCACATTGGGCTTAAGAAGGCTTTGCTAAAGAAGATGGACATGAAGATGCCAAAAACTGACATCAAACTTGAAGAGGATCCGTTTCTTTTACTTGGTAATCTTTCAAACACATCAATGTTAATCTTAATTAGGATTCGGAATGAATGCATATTTTGAAAAACTTAAATACTTCATGATACTTATGACGCTGATGTTCATATTCTCTCTCCCTGCGATCTCTATTTTCAAATCTTACAATGGTTTGACCAAATAGCCTATGGGCATGATTACAAAATATTCTCTAGGAAATATGGGTATCTCATAACTTTTTTATTATCTATTCAATAGGCGGCTCTGAAAGTCTTTGTAAATTTGCGCCAATGAACTCTAAAAAATTAACCTTAGAATGTACCACAGGATTTCTTGATCCAGCAAATGCAATCTACGGCATTATTCCAGAAGAAAGCGATATAGTCAACTACTGTATGAATAACAACGTCACTTCAAAGTGCTTTGACTCATTAGATTAAGTTAAAATAAACAAAACTCTCACGGACCAGTGCAGTGATGTGCATTCATGCGTCATCAATGTTGATGAAATCAGGCAAAATGCCTTCAAAGAGATTAATGGCAATAAATTCTAATGTACAGATTCTTAAGCTGACTTTTTCATTCAAATACCCTGCGTAGTCCATGAGGATGCTCAGATTCAAAGATAGACAGAAGGCCTTTTTATCTCTTGCATGGCTGTTTTTATGGCTCTCTTCTTCATTATAGTTATCGACTATCTCAGATGCATTTTTAAGAATCAATATATCGAATGGGATGTCAAAACTATTACAGCTGGTGACTACTCAGTTGAGCTGAATGTTACTGATAAAATGTGGAGCAATTTCTTGAAAGACATTTACAATCCTGAAAAAGGAAAAACTAAACTTGAGCAATTCAGAAACCATATATAATCTGAACTAGAAGAAAGACTAACTTAAATGCCAGATCTTGGATACGAAGATGAAACTCCAGAGAGAATCTACATCTCAATGTTTACATTTGCCTTTGATAATTCAGAACTGATCAACCTCCTTAAACAAAGAGGAGAAGCTATTAAGTTCGAGAAATGGGATTTAATGAGAGAAATTAACAAAAAGATTGATAACTTGAAAACTAAAAACTGTGATATCTATAACAGACCGGTAACTGCTTTCTTGACTTTTGAAAATGAGGAAGGTCTTAATAGATGCAAAAACTACAATGATGTTGCAGAAAATGATGAATAATACTTTGAATACAAAACACTACTCGGGGAGGAGCTAGATTTCTAAGATGCTGCTGAGCCCACTGATATTATTTGGGAAAACAGACACTTCACAGATCTTGATAGATTCTTCAGAACTTTATACATTAGTTTCAAGGTGTTTGTTCTACTGTCGATATCATTTGTATTCATATTCTTCTGCTCATAAGAAGCAAACAAGCCACTTTTGAAATATCCTCCAATTAATTGTGAAGATATAGAGGAGACGCAGGGTGACAGCTTCAAGATCAATGCTTTTGGTGAATGGGATAGAAACTTTAATGCTAAGGGGAAAGAGGTTGATGATCCTATTTACATGGGTGTTTTAAAATGCTATTGTGATATCAACATAAAATAAACAGAAGGATTCACTAAAAGCTCCTATGTAGATGGAGTAAGAAGAGCTAACAATGAGCCATTTGAAGCTTAAATTTGTAAGAAGTATGCCAGTGATACATTTAACGCTAAGATAATTGGCTATTCTATGTCAGTCATGATTGTGTCTATCAACTTTATTCTAAGAGCCATTATGATAAACTGGATTAAATGGATTGGACATGATACTCATTCTTCATAAATCAAAGCTATTACAAACGGAGTTTTCCTTGCTTAATATTTGAATACCGGTATTCTTCTCCTTCTTGTACAAGCTAACTTTGGAGAAATTATGAAGGATCTTGATTCAGAATCTGTTGATCGTTTTAATATCATAAACAAGATTTTTAATGGTCCCTTCTATGATTTCGTTCCTCTTTGGTACACTGCAGTTGGCTACAAGATTGTTTAAACTATGATTATTAACTGTGTATTCCCTCTTTGTGAGATTGGAATGGGATTCGGTCCCTTATGGATTGCAAGAAAAATTGACACTAATTGGACAAACAATTCATATTAAACTAAAACTACTAACATGCAGAGATATATTGATATCTACAGCGGCCCAGTTTATCTGATTCATTTCAAATATTCTGGTATTATGAATGTTACTTTTATCACAATGATGTATGGAGTTGGCCAGCCAATCTTATTCCTAATTGCTGCCATTTCTTTCTTAATTCTTTACACTCAAGAAAGAGTAATGACTGCCTATTTCTATTAATAGCCACCAGCTTTCGACGATCAACTCACTAAAAATGTTCTTGGAAATGTTAGATGGGCATCTCTTTTCTATTTATTCTTTGGCTTCTGGTAATTAAGTAACTAAGTTATTTTCCAAAATTACTGGAGCTACATTACTGACACATAGGATGTAATGTTGTCTGGCCATACCTTTGAGAATATCAAAGTTGATTAAAGCAGTCCTCTTCTTTTAATTGGTCTAGCAGTTCTCATTATTATCTTTTTACAAACTTTCTTCAAGAAAACACTCAAAGCATGGGGCTATTCATTCGGAGGAGCAAAAATTAATGTAGATGAGAATTTGCCATTCTTTTTCACTTCAATCAAGCTCTCTGATGCTGATTGGCTGCTTAAAGAAAATGATAACTTGCAGGAGGAATATGGATTCTCTATAATATCAAAGAGAGTAAGCAAAATTTTGGATACGACTGGTCCCCCCAAGAAAGCCATTTCCGGAGTACCCTACTATATTGTTCTAGCTAATCCATCTTATCAAAGAGATTTTTAATATATTTGCTGTGATGTTCCAGATAGAGATACTCTTATCAAGGATGACGATGATGATGATGATAATGATTGTGAGTAATCAGATCTAGTCAGTATTCTTTTGAATATGGCATATATCCCGGATGAAGTAATTGAAAAATTCCATTTCGAATCTGGATTCAATAAAAAGTTCAAGCCATTTATGGATGCATATCTGAACAAAAGAGGAAAGCCAAGCACTGGAAGAAACACCAAGAACAATTCAAAGAATAATTCAATACTATCTGGTAACAGTGAGGAAAAGAAAAATAAAATTCTTGATCCTAATGATAGCGGATAGCTAGTTAAGTTATTGAGTAAAAAAATGCTATGAGGATAGTACTGGTAAGATTTCTATTCCTCATAATAGAAGGTAATTTAAGTATAAAGTTAAATAAAGTTTTCTGCTTATTAAAATAATATACCTCTCTGGGGTTTTGGGGTTTTGGGG